GTTTGTGAAAACACTCTTATCCTCGCCCATTTAGAAGTCATCATTGTTATACAGGTTTGTGGTAACGCTCTTATCCTCGTCCAGGTAGACATGATCATTGTTATACAGATTTGTGATAACGCTCTTATCCTCGTCCATGTAGACATGATCATTATTATACACGTTTGTGAAAACACTCTTATCCTCGCCCATTTAGAAGTCATCATTGTTATACAGGTTTGTGGTAACGCTCTTATCCTCGTCCAGGTAGACATGATCATTGTTATACAGGTTTGTGATAACGCTCTTATCCTCGTCCATGTAGACATGATCATTGTTATACAGGTTTGTGATAACGCTCTTATCCTCGTCCAGGTAGACATGATCATTGTTATACAGATTTGTGGTAACGCTCTTATCCTCGTCCAGGTAGACATGATCATTGTTATACAGGTTTGTGATAACACTCTTACTCTCGTCCATTTAGAAATTATCATTGTTATACAGGTTTGTGGTAACGCTCTTATCCTCGTCCAGGTAGACATGATCATTGTTATACAGGTTTATGATAACACTCTTTATGTTCGCCCAATTAGACATTATCACCGATATATAGGTTAGTGACGTTTCTTTTATATTCGTCTAGTCATATATGATCATTATTATACAGGTTAGTGATAACACTCTTGTCTGTGTCCAGTAAGAAATGATTATTGGCTAGTGTTGACACTGCTATTTTTGTTAAGACAGGCATTCTTTTTAATATACAGATTAACTGTAAATTCGGTTATTATTGTTCAAATGAATTTGAAATAAAACTCGTTTCAGTTTGGAAAAATAACATTTTTTATTACTATATTTACTTAATAAATGTAGTTCAAAATATAAAGTTTATAGTTTGAGGCAGATCTGAAGTGTTCTTTAATCCCTTAATGTTACTTCCTATGTAACATAAACATTTACAACTTACCACAATATATTTCATAAAACATATTTGTTTGTACAATACAGACCTAGTTAAGTAAGAAAAAGCGACATTTAATTCCACCCTATTTTCATAAAGCGTCAAATAGAGGGATAAATACGCGATCTAAAAGTTAAGGAAAGTAAAATATATATATACTATACTTACTGTTATGCACACTACCGGATATCCTGGGATTATATGAGATTGGGCATTGGCAGCAGCATCATAATCTTTCAGTGAAACAACTATTGGTTGTGACGGGAAAGTGACATCAGCAACAATGTTAAGTTCTTGGATGTAAATAATCACTTTCGTATCCTGGTAAATAAATCGTGGCATTTTTATTTCTAACATTCTGTAACAAAATACGCTCTAAATATCATTAAAGACGAAAATACCTTCCCTAAAGAACTATTATCAATTAACCTAATCAGTTAAGTTCGAGAAAATAACAGCCACTTGAATTATAAATGCACAAGTTCAACACAAACACAAACAAAAATAATAAACTAAAATAGCGTTGAACTTTTTCGGATTTGAAGAAGTCCGCCCTCAAAGCTATGGCTTGAAGTCTGAACGAAACGGGTAGGATATTAGAGATCATATATATAGCACATTACTTGTTATGCACAATCCAATCATTCTTAACTCCTCCTGTCAATTTTATACTGATTTGTTATAACCTGTTGTAATACATGATAACATGCGAATAAATTAAGAATACGACGTGAAATGGTTTGCCCGAATTAACTCGGGTAAATATTTTTTGAAAACATAGAGGGCTTCCGAGTTATCACAGACAAGTCACAGGTAGTTGAATGATCTTACTTCCACGTCGAAATAAATCATGGAATTATTTTTGGTGGTTCCTCTATTAAACAGAACTGAAATATTTGAATGTGTATTAAGCAACAAAGGTAGATTTGTTACTTGTACGTTGCAATGTGCAATAGAGAGTTAAGTTATAAGTTGAACACTTTGTTGGAATTTTAAGTATTTAAGGTTTTTGATAGCTTTGTTGTTTTTTGTTTTTATTTTAATGCTAGCAGCGTTACCCGGCGTTACCCGGGTTTTCGAGAAAAAAACAACAACTACTCTCTCTGTTTCCCTGTTTCATATTTCTATAGATAAAAAATATTTTGTGAATTTATGAAAAAAAACACCAACCTTAGGTTTGATTTTTGAAAATAAACTAAGAACCTCTTTTAAATCAGGGCTTCCTTGTGTTTGTTTGTTTGGGAATTTCGCGCAAAGCTACACGAGGGCTATCTGCGCTAGCCGTCCCTAATTTAGCAGTGTAAGACTAGAGGGAAGGCAG